TATACGTTGGGTAAGGGCAAACCTGTTATATATAAGGTGTATTTCTGTACAGTACATATACATGTATGCTGCATATTTTGTAACTCAAATTCCCGACTGAGCATTACATGTAGACATGTACATGTGGCTAGTGGTCAGTTTTTTGTTTTATGATGAACTGTCAGTTTATTTTATGCATATCATCACAACCAGTATGGTCATTAGAAATTTACATGGAGATGTACATGTACCCAAATTATGTGTACTCTTAGCCATTTTTGAATGGGTACATGTACATTCTATCAATAATTGTGGGGAATGATGGTAAAATAATTGCTTTGGGTCTGAGAGGTTGCACTTGTGAATAATCACCAAAATTAAACCTGCAGAGAATGATTGAACAATCTAGCATTAGAGTTGATGCCAGATACATGTACTTGTAGATCTACGGGATATGACGTTGAATACATGTATTCATGTATACATGAATTGAAGTGTCCCCATTTTGTTCAGCAGTGTTGTGGAAGTATTCAGAATTTTTGCAGTTTTGAAATTTGAGCTCATCTTCAGTGAACGATTATAAAGTGTTAGTCCGTGTAAGTCAACTTTAATACAAAAGAGGAATAAGAAATTTCGATGTAACCATGGCGACCCATATATATTTTTGCCATGGTATTGTAGACGTACGTGTACACGTGTATATGTACATACGTATATACACATGTACATTTAACAGAGTGGATTTTAATAATTCTCAGTTCACAGAGCAAGGATTCCATGGTAAAGTACCGTAGTGCTGATCAGAAAGTCTTTTGAGTCCTGAAGCAGCTATGCCCAGCATGTTCAGATAGATGTGACTAAGATCTGACACTTAATTTACTGATGGAGCTTCCTGGAAAGTGTTCCAACTACTCTCAGCCAGGATCCCTAGCAATTGTTCCAAGCCACTGACGTCATTGTTGCCAATGTTTCCCCTGCTTGCAAATTGCCCCCCTCCCTCAAGGCTTTTCAAATTGAAAGACATCTTGCCCATTGAATTGCTTCCGTGAAAAAGGGAAGAGGTATGATTGAAGCCCCAGGGTAGGTTCTACTGGTAGATGCTGTACATGTAATTCACTGACATCAGTCAACCTAGTTCAGAATGAGTTCAATCAACTGGTATTATCCCGCGTGGACATGCCTAGTGCTGTTACTAAACAGTTTTCATCACTTTGTATTAGGCCCCCCAAAAGACTTCGGTTTTTGGTCATGAGCTTGGTCAAAAAGAGGTGCGGTGACGCAGCTTCCCCCCCTCTTTACATTAGAGCGCATGGCTTTGTTACTATGAGAAGTGAATTAACAACTTTGAATTAATAAAAAGACCATGAAATATGACAAGGAAATGGTTCCAGACAACTCGCTTAAACAAGAGGCGTCTGTTCTTGGCAAGATTGAACTTGTTAAAATGCAGTAATTTCGTAATTTCAAATTTGACAAATACAGGAACGAAAACCAGAGAAAAATACAGTTATCTGGGAAGTGGGTCATATCCTCCTGGGGCAACACTGTATGTATGTGCAACTGGAAAAATCAGCGCATTGTAGGATAAATGAGCACGTTGCAGCAACATCCTTATTTATCCGGTGTGTTCCTCCGGAGATCTGTGCACTGCTTATGAATGAGACTGTTACACCGATATGTTGCCACAAAGCAAATCTTGCATTTACGCGCAATGTATGGCAGTTGGTAGCAAAGCCAACTTTTATTTCAGATCTCAGTGTGCTTCAGTTACCTTCCAGCACACGAAAACTGGAGAGATATGAAAAAACCGCAATATGGGTATGGTGGACATGTATGACTCATTTCATGAGATTTAGTGAAAAAAACAGGTACCAGTAATTTCACAGAATTGGCTGCACTCCAAAAACTGGTCAGATATTGAAAAAGGCTTTTGTGAGAGAGGATGGGCTGGATGCAGGAGTAACCTGATGATGATCCCTGCCAGTTATTGCCACTTATCTTTGCAAAATCCATTTGTGATGATGACAGGTCATTTATCTTTTAGGCTTGCAGCCACATACATGAACATATGCAATACATTTACAATTACTAATTCACTCTGACTGTCTGGACGGCCAAAGTAATTTATTAATTGTAATGTAGTGGTAGATGGAGAGTACATGTACCTGTACATGTGTATACAGATTCATACACAGGTGCATGTAATGAACAATTGCCTGTCACGCATAACATGTAGTCATTGCTATTTGCATCACATTATCATGCATCTTTATACCATTAAATACATGCTCACTTTACATGTACGTATACTAAATGCAAAATTAGACAAGATAGAATTGAAGTTTCCTGCATTTTTTGTGAAAGTGCAACCATCATATCAAGGTACGTTGGCCAGTCAATCTTCAGATGACAAATGCTCAATTGAGATGTAGGGCACGTTTCCTTAGTTTCATTGTTATAAAACCAATTGAATGTAATGATCTCTGACAGTGTCTAATGCTCAGGTCTCCTGTCTGTCTGGGGGGATAGTGGGCTGGGTCCGCCTCACTTTGTATTGATTACCCGGGTGCACATTGACCTAGATGGCAAACATCAGTGGAGCGTGGCATGAGAGCGTAACGAAATGGGAGCCCTTCCAGCAGACCTGTTGCAGGAGCCGTTTCGTAGCTCAGCGTGCCATTGGTGGATTTACGCTCTGCTGTATGGTGTGAGACCCTGGTTAATATGCATAATGCTTTGTGGGAAATTCATTGGATCAAGGTAACGGTGATATGCTGTCTTTGTGGGTGATATGTGACCTGAGACAGCCAATGGACAAGGTTTATGCCTTCAGGCTGTCTTTCAAAGACACATGTATTCCATAAACCTGTACATTAATGACCTGTTAGTCTCACCTTAATTTACCGCCCAAAGTTGTGTTGAGATTTGTTAACATTAAATATCCAGCGTTACGCAGATGCTGCTTGTACATGTATGTATTATGGACTTGTGCATGTATGTAACATATGCGCGAATGTGATAATTGGCTGTAACTAAGCAACTTTGATGAAAGGCTAATTACAGGACATGCACACTTCAGAACTGTGCAGAGAACTGCTGAGCGGTAAGTGCTCATTCTGCACTCGGATGTTCATCACAAGAAAGTCTGGAAGTACTAGCTTCAGATTAAAAGCGGTGCAACGTCAAGACTCATCTCATTTGCAACTACATGTATGCTGAGAAGTTGCAGTCTTTGTGAGATTGTGTGTTTTGGAGGATCAGTTTTATCAACCCCCCCTTGCGCTTTCAGACTTGTTTTGAAGACCTTTACTGGTATCCTGGATGCTCTCCACATCCAGCTTATAGATACCTAGACGGTATGCCAAGATTAAGTATCCCTGTGCAATAATACACCTTGATGGAATTAGGTCTCCCACAAATGGGAAAGATTAATTGAATTGCAGGCCAGTAGCCAGCTCAGCGTGGTCACACACCTCCATGCAGTAACAGCTCTCTCAGGTAGCAACAATAGCTTGAGGGGATCCATTAAGTGGCATGGTACTGGATTCTTTAAGATTTGCTCAGGTGACACATGTACGTTATTGGCATTTCTGACTCAGGAGAGAGAAGGAGCAGGACGAAAGGCATCTGAACAGACTGCATCAGAACCCAAAGTGGCTCCATCATCCCTTGAGTTGCTGCACATTCTGCCTTTGACGTCTCGAGGAGTTGCACGATTTATACCATTTTAAACTGTATGTGACACCCAATTTTTTTGGGTGGGTGCGTAGTCAGAAAAAAGATTTGTTATTGCACCTTGGCTGAGATTGTTTGAATAGCTGGCCATCACTTTTACAACAAGTTAAAATGGATCGATACCGCCGAGCAAATATGCGGTAAGTGAAACATCTTTGAATATACACGTACATGTAAAGACTAGATACAGACTAATCAGGCCATGAGAATAGAGGCCATTCATATTGTTGGTACCAAGCTTGCACTCAGGTGGTATGCATGAGTTATACAATGGAGGAAGGACACTCAAGGAGTTACAATTCCAGCACTTCGAAGTGCTTGATGATCGTTGCCACCCGTCAGGCGAATAATAGAAAACACTCCAAAAATGCCTGATTACTGCCTGTAGCTTAGCCGGACAGGTGGGGACAGTAATATCCGAAGGATACTTATGGTGCAATGATCATGATATTTATAAAATACGATAAAAAATGACTCCAGTAAACACAAAATCTTATAAACAATTTGACTATTCATTATCAAACATTTGTGCTGCGAATTCGTAATTGAACTTGAGCAAAATTTTGCTGCAAATCTTTCGTGACATCACATTCGCTTCGCTTTCACATTTACCTGTAGTATGAACCAGTGTTTATATGTACAAGCAACTGTGCTTGTGTTCAATTTGATGTTTTGAGCACCAACCAAGCCATGAATATGTGTACTTACATTGTAAGTACACAAAGTTTTAAGGTTGCGGTTTACTCGTGAAAACTTGTGGTGGCAATTACATGCATAAGGCACAAAAAGGGTCTCATTGTTGTGAAACAGATGGCACATAGCAAGTGCTCCCTTTGCTCTGGCTATTGACATACCAGGCATGCCAGAAAGTGGTAATTGGCCAAATGTTATTGCCTGGGCTCTTCAGACTCCTGTGTCCTTCCTCCATGAGTACACATGTACATCTAACAGGCCTTTTGTGACCTGCCAAAATGTAAGCACACCTGTGTACATTTACAAAGTACTTACATGTATGTGGTGCTAGGGCGAGTTTATATTTCAGGCTTTTATCTATCATTTACATCCATTTGTGTATACATGATATTTGCCTCAGTTTTGATGGCAATAACTCACCACTTTATCAGATTTTAACCAGCCAGTGCTGACCCCAACAAGCTTGATGATCATAGTTTTCCTTTGGCATCTTCATTGAGCGCAATGCATCATCTGTCACCAAATTAAATTATTCCGTCCTTTATTCTAATAACATGTACCAATTACGGATTATATGCTTGGCCAGTCTAAAATGTGCATTGAAGACTAGGAGAATAGATGCAACTAATGCCCTCGCAGCGAGGGCATTATCTAAGCACCGTCGATATATTGGTATATCAATATTAACGGTGTGGGTTTGCAGGCCTTGCGCTAACTTTTTTTCCTGGCTAGCTCACTTGGCCAGTTAACTGGATATTTTACTAGCCCGTAAATAAAAAAATTTAAAAAAACAAAATTTGTTATTAGCTCACCAATAAAGAATTTGACATTTCGGAAAATAAAAGGCTGATGGTATAAATAAAGAGGCATGTACGTTAATTAAACATCCCTTGAGTCACTGGTAACAGAGTTGGGAACAAAATCACTTCTTTGCTCCATCTTTCCCCTCTTTTGGGTTGCTTAAGGTAGGCAAAAATTGTCACTTTTGTGTTTACTTTCCGATATTTATATTGATATATCGATTTATACTGAATACATGTATTTATTTTGATCTAAGTTTTAACAGGTATGCTTATTCTGAATTTTTTCTAGCCCACCGGGCAATCAAGGAAGTGTAGGTAGCCTGGGGCATTTTTTAGCTAGAATTTGTACGCTGGGCTAGTACTATTTCCAGGCCTGGTTTGATATAAATATCGCTGATGTTAGTAATGTAATATGGCAGGTTCTTCATAAAATGGACCAAAATGCAACTCTGGATGTCATTTTTCAAAACTTCTAAAAGAGTGACTTGGATCATGTAAAATACAAATTAGCACCTTCGGATTTATAAAAATGATTATATGGGAATAATTACACATGCAGGCATAATGTGTGGGGGGGGGGTTACATTTTATGGACATTTGGTTGGCTATCAGTGCAAATCAAATGGAGTTGAATTCATTTAAAAGTTTTACTTCAAAGTGTTTACACCAGAGGACTTGATCTCACAACTTCTCTCAACAAGAAGGAGAATTTCAGTATATTTTTTGACTAATATATTTTAAAGCACTTAAGAAATCAAAAAAAGAGCACAAAATTAATGGAAAATGATAAGAAAGTTTGGCTCTCTTCATTCTCTTACCGTTTATAATCACTCTCACTATATCAGCATATCTGCCAGGTCTTATACCTTTCAACCACCAAAGATTATCTTTAAGTTTGGCTGCATCAAAAATTTATAATGAGTACAATATGTTCGTTGCGAACGTCATATTTGACGGAATTTTGATGACGTGCGAAAATTTTGACAAAAATGCATGACGTATGAAAATGCCGAAAACGCTGTCACATGTACATGGAGTGCTTGAAAATACCATGTGCAATGTTTATTTTGCTGCTTATTTTGAAGATATCTCTGCTGAAAATTAAATTAAAATTAACAACTCTGAGCATTAGATTTTCATTATGAATCGTATTTTATGTCTCGGATGTCATTTTTTTTCCAACGTCATTCAGAATGACTGATTTTCTTTCAAGAAACCTTGGTCCGAAGAGAAAAATCATGGACTTTCGCCATTCCGTGGAGGGGCTCATGAATATTGAATGAAAAAGAGGGCGCACTATCTGGGTTGATGTCAAAGGCCAAATAGGCCACAATGCAGTTAAATGTTTCTCTAACGGCACCGCAAGAGAATGACGGAAGCCGCAAAATTGCCATGATTGGTATTTTGGGCTACAGTTTTCGGAAATGTACTTGAAGAAAATGTAATCGGTCCAGTTGTAAAAGGATGATGGTTTGGCGGTGCTTTTTTGCACTTTTTTTACAGCTTGTTTTGTACATTGATTTGGATTTTACTCACTGTTTTTTTGCAGTCGTTTTTTTCACACTAATGACAGAATCACATGACGTTCGGGATTGCCAACTTCGGGACCCAATTAATTGTGAATGACATTTTTTTATTTCGTGATTGTGGTTTTTATACGTGTAAATATTATCACCTTTCACCACATATAAATCTGTGTAAAATAACCACGGGGATAATCACTCCTCGTTAAATTTTATTGGCTAGGATTTCAACAGCTTGTTCACGTCCGTCAAAATGCTGACGTTCGAGACTTAAATTAACTCCAGTTAAGACAAAAGATGGACATGGTCATCATTGTTCCAGATATCAGCCCTGACTTCCCTCATTACATCAGACATTATAATCAGTAAAATTTGATATAATTGATAATATGGATATAAAAAAAATCTATTGGTATCGGCCAAAATGCATGTACATTGTATGATATTGACGGTGTCTAGCATTACCAAGCACGTATTCCCATTTACAAATACATGTACATGTACCGTTTCAGTCAGAGTCAAAAGAAGTCAACGTACGATAAATTTCCAAGGGTTTGGTGAAGAATTTTACTTTAATTTTTCTGAACACCCCCATCCATTTTGTGGTACATGTATATTCCTTATGCAAGTAGTTTAGTAGAATCTCCGTATGTGGGCTTGGCGCGCGCTCGGCGAGTTCTGCGTTCCGTGGTGCACACAGACACTTTACCATTAGGAAAGATTAAACTGTCTCATATCTAGGTGCCAGCATGTTTTTAATGCAGCAAGCATATTGCAGTGCTTATTATCAAATACTAATGTACGGTCATGTTGCATGTTACTGAATAGGGAAGCTGTCTGAGGTACATGTTGTTTTTATGAATAAGTTATAATAATTATTCCTTGGAACGGACAGTGCTTACCGTATTTTACTCGTACATGATAACAAAATACGACATACCGGTACATGTAAGTAGTGGTTGTACATATGTACATGTACAATATGTATATTTGGTTGGACTGTCGATGTCAGCTTCCCTCTCTAGTAATGTAATATACTGTATGTAGTTCTTTTCACCTTGGGAGTTAGTTTTACCATTCCTCATACATATTCACTTGCCACCACAACTTGACTTCAGGCATTACTAAAATGAAGTTGAAAATGTACTTATGTTGTGAAGAAACAGCAGTGTTTGTGTTAAGTCTTTGACTGCCTATTGCTGGACAGATTTTACATGAAAGCGTACATTTAGGCTCAAACAGAAATACATGTAGAGTAAATGATGGAATTGCCCATTGTGAGGCATACCGCGGTATGGACATATGGTGGCAGCAGATAAGGCAGACCATTTCTACAGGGAATTTTTGTAACTCAAATCAAAACACCAGCCAAATTTACTACATGCGCAGCGTTTGGTTTCAATTCTGTGGGCACTGTACATACATGTACACATGTACATTACTTGTGCATAGAACATGTACACGTCCATCTGAAAGTTGATGGTTAACATGTGAAATGCATGTCATCCCAGAACTGTTGGTTACTTCACAGAATAAAAGGCCAACTAATTATTTTATTGACTTACCGGTACATACATGTACATGTACCGGTATATTATGGTATATCATTGCATGATTATTTAGTTTATACTTTTACTCTAAAATTGACAAAATTTCACGTCAGTAAAGGATGTCGTAAAAAAAGCAAGTACATGCACATTACCATGTCAATTATATCAGGTAGACTTTCAGAAAACATGAACTTGAGACTATCATTGGATTGGAAAAACTTGACTTGTGACTTGATCTTGTAATGACCAATCCTCATTAACAGATGTGTATGCCTTGACTTCCTGAAAAATGACTTGTTTACACTTTGACTTACATGTACATGCACATGAACTGGTACATGTACATGTACCATCAACAAGTGGAGTGGGTACCGTTGCTGCACATTGTTCTACATGTACATATTTTCAGATAGATTTTTTGAGAATTTTTGTTTATTACTTACTTTGTAGGGAAGACAGTGTACATGAACATGTATGTGCATGCACACAGCAACAAGAAACAGTTACCGGTACATGTGCTTCTTCCAATTAAGCATGTACATGTACATACCCTTATGGATGCTTTCCCAAA